TGCCAGTCTAAACAACGGTTCGCCTTGCCCAAACTGTTTGGATTAGGAGCTATTAGGTAAAGGTTGGTTTTGGTGACGCTGCCGAGCATGAGAAGGGTTTGTAAGTGGGTTTATATGCGAGGAGAAGGAGGCTTTTTAAGCTTAAGAGGGCAACTGCCCCCGCACCTGTACCCGAGGGTGGCTGGGGTTGCCGGCCGGGTTTTTCGGCGGGAGAAGGAAGGCGAAGCGCTTGGCGGAGGAGGTGCCGGGGGTGCGGGGAATTCCGAAAACAAATAAAAGGCGGATGAAATACACGGGGATGGCAAAGTGTGACTTTGTTGCGGTGGTAAAAATGCAGCGGCTTGGCTTTCTGCTTTCCAGGGCCGGGTGTGTGGGTGGGTGTGTTGGAGGGGGGGAAACGGTGAAGGGAAACTGCTGCGAAATGTGCCCGGGCAGGGCATTTCCCAGGCAGAGCTGGGGGGCCACGGATTATTGTAATTCGGGGTTTTCTGGGGGTAGGGGGAGGAGCGGAGAGGACGCCTGAATGTGATTGAAGCGGAGATTGCAGCGCAGATTGTTTCGCTGTCACTGTAACTACTCTAACACGACCCAGGCAGGCAAACGTGCACATTCCATTCCTTTTAATTTTACGGGATCAACGAAGAAATGTTTTCGCTGCCTGCGGTCGGGCTTTCGACGGTTTGAATTGGACGCAAACAATAACTTGAAAAAGAGGAAGGAAACAAAAAGAAAAAGAGAGGGGAAAAAGAAATCAGTCTGTAAGCGATGCTATAAAATGTAAATATAACTCAGCCTGGTGCGAGTGTTTTGTGGTTTTTTTTTTTTAATTTTGGTCTTCATGTGATGGATTCAAACAAAAAACCTCCTGGCCATAACTTTTTAAAGTAGGGCCGGTGGATTTCGCGTGTCCCGAGTATTCATTTTTCACGGTGCGTTTTCGTTCTGACCTATGTTGGCGAAAATCTGCTCTCTTTAAAATCTCTTTGTATTTAGCGTGCTGTGTGCTCGTTTGCTGGTGTTCCCTCCTTTTTTAACTCTATTGCCACCGACTAAAAAAACTTTTTTTTTTTTGTGGAGAAGGCTGGCTTGCAGGAAACAGACGTTTCTGAAATGACCTCCCAGAGCATGCAGCCAGTGAGCTGTAATTCTACCAGGTGTGTTTATGGATTAGCCGGGCTGAAGAGGTTAAGGAAGTTGGGGGGAGGAAAAAAAAAATCGGAGGCAATCAACATCTGAATGTGAAAGTCCAGCTGAGACTGTGAACAATACAAACAATTGTGGAGAGATGTTTTAACTCACTACTGTTTTATAGGTATCGTAATCTGCCCCGGAAATGAGACAAATAGTCCCCCACCACCAACAAAAACTCCCCTTCGAAAGCTACTTTAGGAAACGGGGCTCGTACGAGTGTCACCTCCTGTCAGAGCGCGTTTAAAATTAGGCTATTCAGTCTGTTGTAATGGGCACGGATTATGAGTAAACACAGTTTGGGATGAGCAACCTCATGTTATCTCCAGGAACTGCAGGGTTACGGCTGAATTAAAAGCGTCTCAGCGAATTTCGTCAGCGCTGTTACTGATGAAACTGTTACTGATGTTACTGTTGCTGTCCCTGCCCTGGGCCAAGAATTATATTTCCGCTATGGGGTAACTGCCATCTTGAAAAATGAAGGTGGAAATGTTTGTTGCATGGGTTTGGGTTTTTTTTTTTTCCCCTCTTAAAGACACACATCCGCGTTTAATCAAATTATTCGGAGGAACAACGAAACCGATTGGCTTCTGCTGACTCATTAGCGGGGCTGTATTAATTAGGAATAGTCCTACTGGCTCGTTTTTGAATTTGAATGTTTGATTCCCTCG